AAAAGGCTTAGTTTCAGTTTAGTTATTATTAGTTTCAGCTATGGCTTTAGAGTTCATCATAGCACTGAAACAGCTCTGGTGAAAGTGGTTAATGATATTCTCATGGCCTCAGATAATGGACTTGTATCTGTACTTGTAGATTAAAGGAGCAGCACTAGACTGGTTTATGTCTTATCTGTGTGATTGATTTCAGTTTGTTCACGTCAATGAAAAATCTTCCTCATGCACAAGGGCTACCTGTGGATTACCACAGGGATCAGTGCTAGGACCAATTCTTTTTGCTATATATATATATATATATATATATATATATATATATATATATATATATATATATATATATATATATATATATATATATATATATATATATATATATGCTCCCAATTGGTAGAAATATTAGAAAGCATGGGATTAATTTCATTATGCTAATGATAATCGGCTATATCTGTCAATAAATCCAGATGAAGCTAACCCATTACATAGATTACAGGCATGTCTTGAAGACATAAAAGCCTGAATGACTCTTAACTTTCTGCTCCCGAATGCAGAAAAAAACAGAAGTTATAGTCTTTGAAAAAGAAGCTGATTAGTCAGTCACTTAATTTGGATGTGATTAAACTGATTTCAGATTATAAAGTAAAACATCTTGGTGTTGTTTCTGATCAGGACCTGTCATTTAAATCCCATATCAAAGAGGTTTCTAGAATTTCCTTCTTTTATCTGCGCAATTTTGCAAAAATTAGAAACATCCTGTCCAGGGGTGATGCTGAGAAACTAGTCTGTGCATTTGTTACTTCAAGGCTGAACTATTGTAATTCTTTACTATCGGGAAGTCAGCATCTTCTGTAAAGTATTTGTGATCTTTAGCTTGTCAGTTTCTTATCAGATTAAACAGAATATCCTTTCCAATCCCATCTTAGAGCAAAATAGTTTGGTTATAAAATGGCTGATGGTGGAGGCCCTTAGTTGATAAGAAGGCTTTCAGGATGTGGTTTATAAAGAGAATATCAGTTTGTCCTTTATTCTAAAGGATAAAACTAAATAATTCTTGATAAGACTCGCTTAAGGCTGTCTTTGGCAAGAGGTGGGGTACAGGTGGTAAAAATCCCTAGCCCATCATAGGTTATCACAAAGACTTATAGGACAACCAACCATGTACATATAGCTGAATGAAATTGGAGCAACCCAAAGTTTTTAAGGAAGCTTTAGAACCTGGAAGGAATCCATCCAAGCAAAGTGAGTATAGGAGAGCTGTTAGCTGAAAGACCCAAGGCCACCTTTCCAACATGATCTTGTTACTCTGACCAATCACTCTGCTGCAAATCCTCTCCTGTGTCCAGCTTACTCTATTGCTAATTTTCTTAACTGCATCATTTTAGCCTCACCTACTTGTCTGCCGGCTACATTGGTGGGTCATTTTCTGTTTTTTGCTCATTTGCTTCTCTCTACAAACTCTCCAAAATGTTATTCTCAGCAAACCCCAAATAGCAAAGATAATAGAAATGTGGTTAGCCAAAACACATCTAATCAAAACCTAAATTTAATCTAGAAAACTTGCCACAGGCATCCCTGGAGCATATCTTTTAGCTCTTTTTTGTATTTACCTCCTTTTCATTGACATCAAGCAAGTGGCCTTCCACTTTCTGTTGTTATATTAAACTACGGTCCCAAGTGGAAGCAACAAACCAACACCCAATCTGTTGGAAATACATTTTTTGTCTCCTATCATTCATCAGGAAACAATTCAGTTGCAACAGAATTATTTGACATAGAGAGAAGAGATACATGTTCATGCTGCCTGCTGGCTGAGATCCAGATAACAAGTGGCATCTCCATTGATATCATGTGGGAGAATCCTGTCACTCTGCTGACTGGATTAGAAAATGGATCACAGGGATGTGGAAGAGTAAACAGCAACCCTTCTATTTCCAATTTCTTGTACAGCAGATAGAAATCAGCTAAAAAGCAGGAGATATTTTCAAACAAGGTTTCATAACAGACTATTGATGGATAGATAATCATTTGTAATTAATGAATGTTGTTTTGATTTCAGACCACTTTTTTTCTGATTGAGATCAGGATGCAACGTAGCTAATCAAGGTGCAACCCACTTCTCGCTTAAAAAGAATAAAAAATTGCTGGAGAAATTGCACCAACCCTCTGCAACCGTACAAGAATGGGCAGGTATAGACAGTGAGTGGGTGGAGGTAGACACCTTAGTGTATATCCTGCTCAGTGTTGGTAGAGTTTAGACTTAGACATTTAGACTTAGACAGATTTTATTTTGTCATTTTGTACACACAAGTGAATACAAAAAGAAATTTTGTTAAGTACAGCTCTCTAGAATTTTTCATTTTTTAAAGTGCATCCTTGATAAAGGTAAGCAGCAGTGATAAAAACATTGTGATGGGAAAAAAAACACTGGTGAGAAAAAAAGTGATGTTAAGATATATATATATAGTTACAGTTCCATACAGGTTATTTTATTTTATTTTACTAATATATTTTTCATTCCTGTTTTTGCTTCATAATTTGTTACAGCTATCTGAATTTATATTGATTTTATTAAGTAAACCTAAAAAAACAGAAAGAATAGATCTGATTGGAGCCTTTGCTGATTTTTTTTTTTAGAGTAGTACAAGCAGGCATAGCTAATGCCAGGATAGATATGTTATAAATACGTAATAGATTTGGTTCATTCTACCTTTTTTCCCTTTGTAGCTGCATGAGAAACCACAATGTTCAAAATGGCTATTGGCTGCCAAATAGGGATGGGAATCGAAAACCGGTTCCTGTTAAGAACCGTATTTTCCGATTCCATGGCATCGTTTGGCAGCTCGCTGAACGATTATTTTTTCGATTCCCGCAGCACCAGAGCCTAGAGCGCCGGCTCTGGGGAGCACGACTTACGTCACGTTTTTTACGTAAGTTACGCAAGTTACGCACGTTGGAAGAACTATTCAAGGAGGAAGACAACGAGCTGCGGTCACTTTGTGAATCAAAGCCCCATCTTTCCTTAGCCCAGAGGGTAGATCAGGAAATCCAGCTCTATAAAAGCTTGCCCTCCATCCCCTGCAGGGATAGCGCCACACTGTGGTGGTGGAACTAGCAAGATACGCTGCCCTTGCTATCTGGACTGGCTGAAAACTACCTCTGTGTGCAGGCTTCCTCCACCCCATCTGAGAGGGTGTGCTCCACGGCTGGAGACACCATAAGTGCTGAAAGATCCCGTATCCTTCCAGAAAAAGCAGATATGCTCATCTTTCTGCAAAAGAACTGTTAATTTTCCCTACTAATGTTTTATAATTAGTATTTTTTGTTATTTAAAATATGTTATTATCCCATCATTTGTTATTAGACATTGTTGGTTATTAAGTTTGTTCTTGTATTCATTTTTCATTTAAACACGGATGTTACTCCAGTTTCACATTTACTGTGGACATCTTGATCTTGTTGATTTTGTAAGATTGTGCAATAGTTAAGTAAACAAAGTTGATTCTGATAATCAAACTGTTTGTTCTCCTTTTTCTCCCAAATTGGAATCGAAAAAAGAATCGATAAAGAATCAAATCGTTTCATAGAATCGAAAAGGGAATCGGAATCGTGAAAATCTTTTCAATTCCCAACCCTACTGCCAAAATGTTTTATTTTGTTGTCATTTTTTTAAAGTTGAGCAACATAACACTGGCTTGCCAAATTAGTTAATTATATTACCCTTCTACATGTGTTAGGGTAGAACTACAATATGTGCAGGATGTACTAACAGCCTGTACGGGGTATTTTCAGTATGAGTACTGTTACATCCCTAGCTGCCATGTGTAAAAGCCTGATAGTTGTAAAAAATATATATATATATATTATTATTCATAAACTTAATTTATCACAATAGACTTTTATTTCCTTCTACTTTATCTAGCATGTGATTTCTAGCATGTGATAAAGAGGTTCAGTTTGTGTTTACCACTTGCCCCTTATTCTTTCTTCTGATTCATAATGCTTAAATGTAAACATTAGTTTGCAACTTTGCTTCACTTACTATCCCGGGTTTGTTTGTGTTAACATTATGTTGCAGTTTCCATCTATTTGTGTTTAGGTTAAAGCTATTACTTCTGGATTATTGGATGAAATTTTTTATTTTGTTATTCATGGTATTTGTTTTCCTTTTTACTCACCATTGTTAGTATTTCCTACTAAATTGACTAGATAATGTCATCCATTACCTTACTGGGCTCTACCGTTTAGAGGGTTTCCTTTGGAGTTATGCTTTGTTTGTTTTTCTTTAAAGTAACTTTTTGAGTTAACTTGTATCATATTGTTTATTTTGCAGACTCTTTCTTTATGTAGATGAGTTTGTAAATAAGATGAATTTCTTTCTTGTTTCTATGTTTAGACTTTGTTTTTTTTTCTACCTGTTTAATTGAGGCTTGGTCCACTCAAGTGCAGGTGTGTTGCTACTTGGTTATATAAGCCTTCCTGAGCTCTTGGAAGCTCAGGAAGGTTTTTTCAGAGTGAAATGCTGAATAAAAGACAACAGAGAAACTGGTGGCTGAAGCTGTTTTTTTTTTTGGTTCAGCTGATTGATCCTCGACCAAACTACCTCACATAGCTAGTTAGAAGTTATTCTCTGTTCATACAATAAATACCACAAAAGTGTATATAAATATGAGTTAGAAACATTTCATACATTGTGTATAATAATCATCTATCTTCAATATAATTAATCGTTACCAAGCAAAAGACTCACTGACCTTAAAGGCAAGAAAAGAAAAAAAGATACATGGATGTCCTAAAATAAATTCTTAATTCATGTAAACAATTCTGGGAATTAAATTATTTGCCCTCTGAGAATGAGTGCAGACACAGTGTAAAACATCTTAATTCAACAGAGTGGACTCAATCAGGCTGAGAGGGCATCCTACTGTGAGGCACCACTGCTAACCATAGAGGCAGTATGCTGATCACTGTGTAGAGACCAGCTAAAGGAAACAAGCACATACGTGTTTGAAGATTGGTGATGACAGTGCCACTTGTGAGGGGTCCTTTGGTGGCATACAGGGCCACAGAGTAGGTGGTGCTTGGTTTGAGGTTGGACAGCTGGTGCTCATGCTTGCTTCCTTCAACCAGGAAAGTGTCTGCTGTCACTATAAAAACAACACAACCAACATGTACCTGTTAATCATTTAACCATCAGCATTCCATGAACACTTTTAAATTGAAGGAAAATAATAGAGAATTTAGCATAATAACATTTTGCCGAACATTTTGTACAGATTCTGACAGGGCATTTCTAATGAGGTCAAATGATTTTGGTTGACTTGCAGTCAGCAAAAGTCAGGAAATTTTAGTTTTTGCCAAGGCCTATTTATGCATTAGAACAGTCTATTTTATTTGAACTCTCTTTTGATATTTACAGTAGGATATTTCCACGTTGGGGTTAACCTCCACCACAGTCTCATGTCAGCCTCTGAAATTTTGTTTTCAGCATTGTTCAGTATTTAGATCCACTCATATTCACTGGCAAATCTCCAGCACATAATGCTGCCACCACAACTGGACACAGATGGGATTGTTTGATCAGTGTCATGCACAGTATTAGATTCCCACCATGAATTGCATTCTCGTTTGCAAGAAAAATGTTTATTAGTATATTATTTAATCAGAACGCCTACTTCCACATGTTTTCTATTTTCCCTGCATTAGTTCATACCTCTTCGGAATTTTATCCATGGAATTTTTTCTGATGTGCTTTTGGCCTTTCTGAGACTGTTCTATATGAGAAGAGCACAATTTATAATTATAAATCAGGACCGATTATACTCATTTTACTAATTAGGTAATTTCTTTAGTTGTTTTTGTAGTGTTTTAATTTAGTCACTCACAACATAAGGGAGTGCATATCCATGCATAACAGTTTTCTGGTCTTTGAAAACAGGAGAAGAGTTTAGGTATAATTGTTGTTCCACTGAAAATATGATTGTCAGACTATGAAAAGAGCATGAATACTTTGCAATGGAACACAGCAGTCCCAGAAGCATGGAAAATTGCGGATTTGACCAGCATTTGCATAGTTTTTCAGTTTCAGTGGATTTACATTCCATTTATGCTCTTGGATGAAGAATCCTTTTGGGAGCAACTGTGCAATATGAGGCAAATTATGAGCCTGTTTATATCTAAATCATGGCTGTCCACTCTGTAATTACCTAATACACAGAACTGGAAAAGCAATCCTCATCTAATCTAACGGCTGATCCCCAGCAGTTCTTAAGTCTCTCTCCATTACAACTCAAAAATGTTTTGAATGAACTGAGATAATTGACAACTTAATATCCACTGTTTTCTTTAAGAGTCTATGAAAAAAAAAAAACATAGGTAAAATTATTTCACAATATGATTATAAGGCATTTGATAAACGAGAGACTTGTCAAAGAAATGTAATGTTGAAAATTTTACAGTACAATATACTGATTGTACCAGAGCCAATACAAATATAATAACCTCTTCTCCTTTAAAACAAATATATTAATTCATATAATGGAAGTTCCTAAATGTGACAAAGAGAGCAATGAATCACAGACAGATTTCTGGCTTCTAAATCAAGCCATGCTGTTATGGATTTTATGTAGGTGTTCTTGCCAATACAAATCTGATTTGTAATGCAGTGCAATACTCAGCACGGTATTCATTCATTGACATGGTTTGGATTAACATTGAAGTGCATCTGTCAATACCTTGCATTGCACTTTTCCAAATCCCTGTTGGCACTTGTTTACAAATAGCTGTTCAGCTGACACGTACTATCTCTGTATCTGATATATTCTGGTTGTATTGTACCAAACAACACTGTAATTCATATTTCTACTGAGTCGTGTAATGACGATTATAAATGTTTCACAATTAATTTTTTTCTGCAGCTACTTGTTCAGAAAATCTATAATATTTAGAGATGAACTGAAACGCATATCTGCACCCTTTGTGTTGTGTTAGTTTTTAAATAACATATGCTGTTTTTGCTTTCACATTGCAGCATTGGTTCAAAAATATCCTGGCATTGCGTAATTAAATATCTTGATCGGGATCTCAAACAATGAAGACAAGAATTGCATCCCAAGTTCAAGGTCTTTAAAAACTACATTGCTTGTACAGGGCTCTTTAAAACAAAATTAAACTATGTATCTAGGTTTATTAAGACATGATTAAATGACTGGTATCCCAGTACCACACATGGGGTTATATGGACCATGATTTTGGCATGTGATATGCAGCCTTGTTTTGCAAGGCCAAGATTTAAAAGCCAGTGCCTATTTTTGTGTTCACTGCTTTAACATTATTGAATTGATAAGGATGAATCATACTTTCAATTTTTTATCATTCTATGCAAAGACACTGGCATTGAAAGATTAACCTCTTCCCCAGTCCATCTGTGTATTTGGATCTGCCTGAGCTCATCTGCAGCTAGAGATACTTGAAGCTTTGACAGTATTTGTGCTTAACTGAAACATTAGTCACTGAAATGTATAAACTTCAGAGCAAGTCACCAACTTCATAAAGGTGGAATATTCTGAAAGTTTTGTCAGTAATAAAGCTCAACTACTTTCACATGGAAATATACTATACACTGAGTTTTTAATAAGCTATATTAAAAGAGTAAACATGTTAACCACTGTCAAGCACCCTAGCAAACTGCTTTGCACAAAGCTATCCTCTGCAGGAGCAAGACTCGAGTTTACTAATTAGGCTGCAGCTTAAGTATTGGGTCAGGAACAAGTGGTTAAGTTAGCTGAGCTTTAATTGAAGTATCACTAAAGCATTTCAGTTGCTTTCTTTACCTAATTAAATTGTTGCTTCGAAAGCTTGTAGAGTCTGTATGACAGAAACACCACAAGGGAAAGATGAGCTATTGCTGACAATTAAAATGGATAGGAGAGACATGTTACTTGAGAGTCATGGCTGTAATATAGACCATGTGTGAATAATAATTTATTTTGCTGCATATTCTTAAGACTGATTTGGTAAAGTACTGAACTGGGACTTAGAATCAACAAATACCTATGAACGATGTGACATATATATCAGAGATTAAAGAAAGTCATTTATTGGACTTATTACAGTATTTATTTCAACATAACAACTTACTTATAACATTCTATTTATACTTAATACTGTACTTACTTACTTTCATTTTGTTAATTAGATGCCTATACAGACAAAAACAAATGCTCATTTTAAAAACTAAATACATAAAACATCTAACTATAACTGCATAATTTGAAAGTAATCAAAAAGTCAACTACAACTGAATATGCACACTATTCTTTTGCACTTAAATAGCTACGCAAATAATATCCTTGATGTTTAAAACCTCTTGAAGAGTTCATATTTTCATATAAGAGACAAAGGAAGAAAAAATATGGCATTTTATTGTTAGTGATTCCCATATTTAAGTGTGTGATAAACAACAAATGAATAATAGCAATAGAAAGACAACTCACACTGGTTATGTGTGATGGTCAGCACGTAGTTGTCCACACTGGAAAGGGGAGGATTCCACCTCAGCAGGGCTCCTTGTGGAGTAATATTGAGGGCTGTCAACTCCGCAGGCATATCCATGGCTATGCATAAAGAAACAACTGTATATTAAAACGTTGCACTGTTTAATGGTTGAAAAGTCAATGGTAATAATTCTGGAATAAAAGACATTTTGCAAAAATGATTATCAGGAAAAAATGCTGGCAATGACATAGATATTAACTCACACTGATATACCTATTATTTATTGCAATGCATGCACCTCCAGTCAAAACCCCAGCTGAATGAAAATATATTTTAAATAATTCTGCAACAAAAGAAACTCATTGAAAAGCAAATATGATATAATGTATAAAAACTCAAATATTCTCTAGGGCCAACAGTTTCCCTGGCCTCTTTATAATTTAACTATCACATTCCTGGACATGCCAAAATTGAGTTTGAATTTAATTATACCTTTAACCCCAGTGTTTCAACCCCAATTTCTCCACTGCCAGGTTATTTTGGCACGACAGAGAGTGAGGGGGGCTGATGTGGAATTATGAGTGAGACCCAAGGTTCTGCCTCTATCATATGATTGATAATACCCTTATTAAAGCAAAATACAACTGGAGCCATTACTACACTAAAGCTTATCACCTTTATTACTTAAAATTACAAAAATATCTAAGAAAATTTAGTGTAGGCTTCCCAAGTCAATTTATGGAATGAGCTTTGCATCTTTTGTGTTGTTGAAAAAAGTCCTGCTGCTATGAAAACATACAATTTAACAATAGTACTGATAAGAAACATAAGATTTGCAAGAGTGTAGCAGCCATATCCCGATTTTTCCTAATCTTAAACTACAGAGGTGCTCTGATTTCTGCATCCTGAATCCAAGCAGTGGCAGTATTATCTGTGGAGAGGGCCCTGTGTTTTAAACAATACAGCTACTGTAATAGATATTGTTATCACTTGCATTAACCATTCAGCATAGGATGGTCAGCCAGTGTGTTGAATGTCTAAGGGAAACATATTCCAGGACATTACTACTTTTTTCTTTTTTTTAATGCTTTTTTGGTACTATACTGTATACACTCTTTTTATGTTGTCTGTTGTATTTTTATCTTTAATGGCATTTTGCTTTAACTCTTTGTACTCTATAAGCTACTGGAGCCAGAATTTCCCTGAAGGAGTGATCCCAGGGGATAAATAAAATTGAGTCTACATATAAGTCTGAAAGAGAAAAATATGATGATGATGATGATGATGATGATGATGATGATGATCACATTGATTTTTTGTTGTTGTTTCATAACCCAGTCCACACCGACTAAAATGGGGTCACATCATACACATAGGTTAAAAACAAATGATTACATGCATGTTTCACAAATGAAAAAAAAAGGAATTCAACTTGGTCAGGTTGTTACTAGTCTTAAGATTTTGTTCTTTTTTTCCTTTCTAAATGCAAATCTGAGTGTGCGGGGGCAGTTTCCTGATGGTTCCCAAAGATTGTAGACAAATGCGTTTAAGGACAAAGACGCAGACTGCTTGTCATCTGTTTTTCTTTGCACATCCCAAATGTCCACAAATTATTTCCGTTACTGTTGTTAAAAGTAAACTGTAAATAATGTGATGATGCAAAAACGATCTAGAAATAAGTAAACATTTCTTAAATTAAGTATATTCACCCTTAATTTGAGTAGGTAAATGAGATAGTTTGCCAATGGAATGAGTAATTTTACTCTTAAAATAAGATAATTAGATGATATGCACTTGAAATAAGACAATGAAATTGTGTTTTCTTATATTAAGTGTAAATTGTCTTGTTCCATTGGCAAAATGTTTCTTTTACCTCCTCAATCCAAGAACAAATGCACTTATTTTAAGACAAAATGACTAAAAAGATTTAGATTTTTTGCAGTGAAGGAGTGAGCTGCTGCTTATGTTGGCAATAGGTTTCTCTAGTTTATTTAGTAATGGAAGTTAGTTCTTGTCATTTGGTTAATTTTATACCTAACTTACAATTGTTGTAGTCATTGGTTCTCTGCTGACACTGGAATGACTCATACATTTACGATCATGAGCCTCCTCTAGATAGGTTGCAACAAGGTGATAACGTTCAAACACAAGAAGTGTAAATAAACTGTTGACACTTAATTGATGCAATATTTGCTTAAGTTCTGACCTTGTTACTTGAGCTACAAACTAAAACGTTCAATGAAAAAATTTATACAATAGCTCTAGGGTAAAGGAATTAAACAGGTTTGTTTGTGTAGTCTTTATCTAAATATTAATTAGGGTAGTTCACTACACATCACACTCTACATAACTAAAGACACAAAAAGATGGTTTAAACCACTACAACTTTCAGCTGAGACATATTATTTGGGAAAAACACATTAGGATTATTTTGCCTCAAATGAAAAAATAAAACAGCTCTTTTTTCTACAGTTCTATTACATATGCTGTATTTTAGGAAACCCTGCAGGGCGATGTTAAAGAGTGCTTTTTTTCTGAGCTATGCTGACATTTCGGAGGGCAGCCAGTAACCTCTGCTTGAGCTGAATGCTTCAAAAGCAGAAATGGAGCTACAAGCTTTTAAAGTACCTCCACATAAACCTTTTATACAGCAAACAAAGAACAGGGTTAGGACCGGCTTATATACTTTGATTTATAGTCTAAATTGACTTAATGTGTCCTTGCTTCAACTTATGGTCACAAATTAATCACTGACTGCAGAAATATACAGGGTTGTAGAGTATCAAAGTAATCACATTCAGCCACATGGATTTTTTTTGTCTTATAGTCATCCTAGAGGGGCAACTTAAGGAGTCTATTTAGGTAAAAAAAAAAAATTCAATAGTATCACAAAAACAATTTAGGAAAGCATTTGGTTTTCTACTAAATAGTAGATATAGGATCCTGGGTGGGAAATTAAGTGCTCTGCTGTGTCAGGTCAGAAAATGTTTTTTACCTTGATCTCACATCACAATCTCAATATCTTCAGATCAAAAGTTTGAGCTGTCTAGGACTCATGGGCGTAGGTTTGCATAGGGACCATAGGGACATGTCCCTACCAAAATTTTGAACTGACCTAATTGTCCCAACCAATAATTGGATGTGAGCAACATGTTTATAATTTACAGCAGTAGTTGTTGCAGCAGTGGCTTCTTTTCCTCTCGCAGCTCCTCTGCCTGGTCTCTCCTGTCCATTTCATGTAGCAGCGCATGGAACTGTGCTGCGCTGTTTAACTCAACTCTCATTGGTTGTTCTGCCTTAAGTTCCGCCTTCTCTCTCTCTGATTGGCTGTTTTCTAGTCCGCGTGCTTGGAGCACAACATTGAAAATTTATTCACACTAGAATGCAGCGGTTACTACAATTAATATTAGGCTACAAAACTAGTCCCAATAAAAAAAATGAATATCATGTACACTAAAAAACAAAAACCTTTTTTTTCTTTTATAAAACGAAATATTCTGAGTCAGCCAGGAGTTCTGAAGACTGTTGGAAAAATGGGCAAATAAAGGCTGTAAGCCATCAACATTTCTGATTCTTAGCCACAGCCAACTAAAAAAGAAAATGTGAGGGTTTCCTTTTTACCGATATTAAGTAGATATTACTGTTTTCATTTTTTTGTTTTTATTTTTACAATTTTGATATAATAACTAATAATAATAATAATAATAATAATAATACATTTTATTTAACAGAGCCTTTCTTGACACTCAAGGTCACTTTACAAATAATACAAAAAAATAAATAAAAAGAGATGAAAATACAATATACAGTTACAGGAACATAAAAAAAACAAACAAAAAACAATCATGGATAGGGAAAAGAGCAGTATATTCACAGATAAGCGAGCTGGAACAGATGGGTTTTGAGTCTGGCTTTGAATAAGGGGAGAGAGTCAATACTGCGGAGGTCTGGAGGAAGTGAGTTCCAGAGCTGGGGTGCAGAGCGGCTGAAGGCTCTGCTCCCCATGGTGACAAGTCGAGCTGGGGGTACAGTGAGGTGGATGGAGGAGGAGGATCTAAGGGAGCGGGAGGAGGTGGCAATGTGAAGGAGGTCTGACCGATAAGGAGGAGCAAGGTTATGGATGGCTTTGAAAGTATAGAGAAGGATTTTAAAGTGAATTCTGAATTGAACTGGGAGCCAATGGAGTTGGTGAAGAACAGGGGAAATATGATGGAAGGAGGGGGTTCTGGTGATGACACGAGCAGCAGAGTTCTGAAGAAGTTGAAGTTTATGGAGAGATTTATGAGGGAGGCCAACTGATCTAAGTGGGTTGCTCTGTGGGGAAAGGCACATTTTACATTTATATTACTGTATGTTTTAAAGTCTCTATACTCCAGTTAATGATGAATCACTTACTAAATTAGTTGACAATTATTAAAATAATCAATTAATATGATTAATTTTTTTCAGCCCCAGATGAAATACATGAAATTGGCTACACAGAGTAAGTACAGCCCAGATGTTCAACTTTTATAGTGAAGTTAATATTTTAATGAATATATTATTTTGCTTGATACAGAGAGAGAATAGTAGGTACAAATATTAGAGTGGGGTTTAACTCTGCACAATTCTGTATCTTCAAAAGAAAATACTGTATTTACCTTCTCTCTTAGTCGTTCAAATGAAACCGTTTTCAAAGTGGAAAACAGTCCTAATTCCACATTCATCAGAGCCGGTGATACTTCAAACATTGATAAACAGCATCAAATGAGTGTAGAGCTTATAACATTTTTATTATTGGAGCAAAATGTTGCTCTTTTAACAATGAATTCCTCTTATCAGTACGGATGCTCACATCGAGCATAAAAAAGGGCATGCATATCGCATAGCACCAATGACACCAGACCAATAGTGTCCCTACCAAAGTTCAAATCAGACCTACGCCCTTGCTAGGACTCACTCAATCAGAAAATTGGGCAAAAATAGTTTTAACTAGCCAGAATTAACAGTTACATTTTTTGAACTTAACGGATTTCAATGATGTCCCCTGTCCTCCACTCTTTCCACCTTTACCAATGAATGTTACCCGTGGCTGCTGCACCAGAGAAATCAAATGCAGGACCTATTCTACATCAACACC